GAGACAGGGTTTCTCTGTGTAGGTTTGCACCTTTCCTGGATCTCGCTCTCTAGACCAGGCTGGCCTTGAACTCACAAAGATCCGCCTGCCTCTGCCTCCCAATTCTTCTACCTCTTGATCTAAACACATAACCAGAAATTTTAAGAGTTGCTGGTTAATGTCTTCACACAAAGGAGAAACATTGGTAACTTTAAAAAAAAGATTCTGGGAATGATTTCCAAGGCCTCACACATCTAGTCATGTTCTCTACCACTGAGCTATCCTCTCTGCCCTGGCAAATCCTTAATGAATAAAAAGTCTGGAATGTCAAGCTGTAGTCTCAGTTCTATAACCTTGGACAAATTCAGTTCTCAGGATACTGTCTACCAAAGAGAGAAGGTAAGATCAATGCTTGTTTTCAGATTGAATATAATTTTATGGTATTTTCCAAACTGGGTGTGGTGGCACATGCCAGTAAGCCCAGCACTTAGATAGAGGCATGAGGATCAGGAGTTCAGGACAGCCTGGGATATAAGAGACCCCTTCTCAAAAAAATGAATAATTCCCACATTGGACTATCATTTTATTATATTCTCATATTGCTTTGCTTGTAACTTAATGTGGCAATGTTTAGATATGTCACAGTTAAAATAGTGTTCCCTAGTCAGCTAGTAAACTGCTTGAAAAGGAATCATTTTTTATTCAATTCTGAATCTTCTACAATACTCATCACTATAACTTATATACAATAATAATTCACTGTAGTATCAGGAAATCATTTCAAATAACTCTTTAAGAAGTTTTAGGGTGTTTCAGTAGTAAAGATGCTCGCTTAGCATCCTGAATTCAGTCCCTGGAATATAGAACTGACTCCACAAAGTTGTCCTCTGACTTCTACATGCAGAGCATAGCATTGTGCCCCCCCCCAATAAATAAATAAATTAAAAAAAAATTTAAAAGAACATTATTAAGTTAAGTTTGGTGGCATGTGCCTGTAATTCCAATATTCCAGAGGTTGAGGTCAAAACATCAAGAGTTTGAGGTTAGACTGGCCTACAAAGTGAGGCTCTGCTTAAAAAAATAAAATAACTGGGCTGGCAAAATGGCTCAGTTGGTAAAGGCACTTTCCCCCAATCCTGATAACCTGAGTTCAATCCCAAGGACCTGCATAGTAGAAGAGGAACTGACTCTCCAAAATTGTCCTCTGAGCCCCATATGCATGCTGTGGGGCACATGTGATCTAATATATGCACAGACACAGGTACAAATAGATAAATAAATCTAAAAACAAAACAAAAGCAGCAGCAGCTCATTTATGAAGAAAACCTATGCACATATCTGCTGTCTCCAAAAGGGCCTTGTGAATATTATTAATTTTTATTATAAATACCATGCATTGATATACAATAAAAACTATGATCACTCTCATGTCACCTAGGGTAATAAGCCACACAAAGCAAAAGAATGAAAAAAAGCATCTCACACAAACTTCAGTACAGACTAAAATGTCATAAGCCTTGGGTACTCCTACTGCCACATAAAAAGAAAAACTCCTCCGTAGGCTAACGAAGCACATACCAAGCTCCACGGCAGGGGAGACTTCTAGATGCAAGACCATCTGCAAACTTTCAAAAACAAAAGGGTAGACTAAGGATGAGTGGGGATAATCAGAAGATAAGTCTAAAGGGAGGGACAGCAAAGAGGAACTGAAGGACAAGAGGACTAACAGAAGGACAGCAAGGAAACATCACCTTTGAGTAAGAACAAGGAACAGTGGAATTCAGTATTTACCAAGGGTCTACTGGGAGCCTGGCATCTAGGGGTGCAGAGACGGTGCCTGACCTCAAAAGGATAACAGCCCTGAAGGTAAGACACAGGCCTGCAGCCTGTAGTGTATTATTTAATTCTAGTTGGGAAAATTAAGCAGGGAAGGCTTTATAAGGAAGGTGAAAATTTTGTGGAGCCTTTAAAGTGTGGAGGAGGATTTGCTAAGGAAGGAAAAGACAGTTTGAGCTAGTTATTTTGGGGGCAAAAATCCACACATTTTTATAGCTGTTCATTTGGGACTCAAATCAAAGGAGGTGTCTTAGAGTCTGCATCACCCCTTCAACGCTTTCCCTTTTTATCTTAAAGCCTGAAAACGTTCTGGAGCAGAGCCAGAAAGTCCCCAAAGGAGGTGAGTACTGGCTAAATCTGCTCTGTCACCTCCACAAGTCCAGCCAGCCCTGTCCTATTGCCTAGTCCTGGCAGCTAGAAAAGGAAGGCTAATTATACCTTGGGGGGTGGGGTGGAGTGGGGTGGGAGGTGGATGTAAGCAAAGCTTACTGTGTTCCCTCAGGGAACCACCAGGGGAGAGCCTCCCTGCTTAAGCCAAGACTCCCAGTCTACCTGTGACGACAGGGAGGAGGAGAGCTCTGCAGGGAGGGGCAGGGAGGAGAGCTCTGAAGGGAGGGAAAAAAAAAATCTTCAAGGAAAAGCAGGGAGGAAGCACTGGAGGGAAAGCAGTGAGGTACAAAGGTGAACCAATTTTAATAAAACGCTTAGCAAGGTACTGGCACAAGGCGAGTATTTGGGAGGGAGCCAGCTCATATTAACATCGCAATTGTTATCACAACAGCTCTTCCATCCTACTGACAAATTCTATTCGTAGCCCACTTTTACGACGTCTAAAAGCAACTCTATAAATGACAAGTGTGTTTCCGAAAAATTTAAAGATACAAGATCAAATTCCACCAGCTCTGGCCGTGAAAGCCCCAAAGCCTCCGAGTTAGCGCGCTGGCCGTGTGTGTCACTTGTCGGTCCCATGACCTTGGACTCGGCATTTCACCTCCCAGTGCCTCAGTTTCCTTGACTACAAAGTGGGCTTTATGCAAACCGGGGTCATGGGGTCCCCGGAGAGAGGGAGACCTCTGTGGCTTTGGGACGGAACCCACCGAAGGCGAGTCAAGGCCCCTGTCAAAACTCTCGGGGCTGTGAGGGGCAGCGGGGCAGGGGGATGCTCAGATCTAGGAGCTCCGAGCTGCGCCGCGGGAGCCGGGAAGACCGTGACACCCTCGGAGGGTCCCTGCGACGGAGGGTGCAGGCCTCGGGAGAGAGGCTCGACCCCAGCCAGGCACACGCTGTGCCCCGCGGGCTAGGTGCCGGCAGCGGCGCGGGAGGCCGGGCTGGACGCGCAAGGCGCCGGGGGCTCGGAGGAGGCCGATCGCGAGGACCTGGGTTCTGCCGTGTGGGCATCGGTCCGCAGCGCCCAAGGGAGCGACACCCCGATGTACCGCGCCGCGCGCCCTCCGCCCGCTGTGGCAGAGGCGCTCACTCACCTGAAGCGCTACCGCGGGCCGTCAGTCAACAGCAGCTGCAGCAGCAGCGGCAGCAACGAGGGGAGGGGGAGGCGCTGCGCTGCGCACGCGCGCTGAGGAAGCCGGGGATTTACGCATGCGCGACACGCTCGCTTACGCTGGGAACTACAGGAAAGATGGTGGCCAGGCCCGGAGAGCCTAGCAGCGCCATCTTGACTGTAGTTTTTCTTGCGGCCTCAGAGGCTGTGGCTCAGACCTGCCCTGAACTGTGAAAAGCTCCGTCTGGACCTGTCTATCTATTCCTCTTGGTTAAATTATTAGTAAGCCTTTAAGGGCCATGACATACTTGTTTTAACAAGGTTTAGGGCTACATGCAAGATCAGCTGGCACTCCTGAGCTAGAATTTGAGTCTCAAGAGTTCAAATTCCTAGTCTTCTTTCGCCTCTTAACAAATGGCAGCCACATCATTTGCTTGAGTATGAAGAGATGGTTACTCTAAGTTAGTGACTAAACAATTAAAGCTTTTTCATTGTTAATTACGTGTACGTGGTGATGTGCATGAATGTAGCAGGTACCCGACTAGGCCAGAGGTTGCAGATTTCCCCTAGAGCTGGAGTTATGGGCTATCAAATATGGGGACTTGATGTGAACTCCATTCTCTGCAAGAACAGTATGCATTCTTGCCACTAAAGCCCTTTCTCCAGACCAGAATCAAAATGTGCACGTAGCCCGTATGTGCTGGCCGTTTTATGTCAACTTGACATAAAGTTGGGAGTCATTTGGGAAGAGAGAATCTCAGTTGAGAAAACTCCCCCACCAAATTGGCCTGTGTGGTGTATTTTCCTGATTGATGACTGATGAAGGAGGGCCCAGCTTACTGTGAGCAGGCGGTCCTGGATGGTAATAACAAAGCAGGCTGAGCAAGCCATGAGAGAGCAAGCTGGTAGACAGCACTTCTCAACCTGTGGGTCGCATATCAGATATTTACATTATGATTCATAACAGTAGCAAAATTAGTTATGAAGTAGCAACAAAATAATTTTATGGTTGGGGTCACTACAACACAGGGAACTGTATTAAAGGGTCACAGCATTAGGAAGGTTGGGAACCACTGCTCGATGGCCTGTTAACAGTTCCTGCCATCTTCCCTCAGTGATAAACTGTTACCTAAAAGTGCAAAACAAAACAAACCTTCTTCTCCAAGTTGATTTTGGCCATGGTGTTTTATCACAGGAATGGAAACTCCAAGATACCATACTAGCCTAGAATTTGCTATGCAGCCAATATACAGGACGTGATCTCTTTCAAGAGCTTATTAACCTATTATCTTATTAATACTAAGTATAATTAACTATAGATAATTTTTCTCTTGGAGAAAGAGAACAAATACAACCAACCTTTTTTGTTTTTGGAGATAGGGTCTCTCCATGTAGTCCGAGCTATCCTAGAACTCACTATGTAGACCAGGTTGGCCCCAAACTCTGAGTCTCATTGTTATTAATCAGGCACTATTCCCAAACCAATCGAATGAAGGCAAAACTAATACTGATAGCCTTTTTATTATATGATTTATATTTAATTGTTAACATTTACTAAGTACTGAATTGGTGCTGGTTTACCCTCACTACCTATATATCCTTGGCTAAATTAGGAAACATTTCTAATATTCTATAAATGACAAAAAAAAAAAAAAAACAACAAATAAACAAAAAACAAAAAAGCCTCTCTCAATAAAGCTGTGGTAAGCACTAATGATGCTTAGAGCTCACTAAGTATTGTGAGACAGGGTCTAATGCAGTCCACTGCTCTAGAATCTGCTACATAGCCAAGGAGAGCCTCCAACTCCTGATTTCTACTTCTTGAGTACTGAGGTCTAAGTTTTTAGTGTTTTGGTTTTTTTCTTTAATATTCTAGCCCTTTTAAGTGGTTGAAGACACGCAACACATTTCCTGTCTTCAAGTTTGAACACTTACAAATAAACAAAATGTGATAGAATGTAATAAAATGGAGGAAGGCATAATCACCTTTGAAAACAGAGCAAACTGATGAGATGAAACTATGCTCCAAAGTTTGCGCACTTTGTTATACTTCTCTGCTTTTGAAATAATAGTTAATAATACTGTCTTTGACTCTTAAAATACTTTCTTGGAGGCTATTTGGAATGTCCTTTCTTGTTCTACTTTGGGCAATATAAATCCTCAATCTTCAATAACTAGGCATAACTTAAAATTTATTTCTAATCCAGACTTTACTACCCTGGTCTCCACCTGTGCACATAGCAGCAGCCTGCTTGAATTCTCCATGTGGTAGTCCAATCAGACATTAGCGCTTTCCCACCTCATTAACTACTCTACCATCTACTAATTATTTAAGTCTTCAGCAATAAACTAATAATATTGTTTTAGGCTTTTACTATTTAAAATCCTTTGAGTGTCCTTAAAACATGGATTCTAACATTATTCCAATGTTCTAGACAAGAGGTTAAGTAACTGTTCCTCAGTCACAGGAAATGACAACACAAGATTTTTAAAACATATCTTTCAGGTCTATTATGTTCTAGGCACCATTCAGCAACTAGAACAACTTTAAAAAAAAATAAAATAAAATACGGGGACTAAAGATGCAGCTCAGTGAGAATGTTTGCTTAGCACATGCAAAGCCCTGGGGTCGATTGTTAGCGGGGCAAAGGGGGATTTCCAGAGAAAACAAATTAAGTCGTCTCAGCCCTTTCTTGCCATAAATTTAGATTGCAGGAGCTCAATTCAGTATTAAAAACTAAAGCACACTACAGACATTAGGACACTTCAGAAAATGGGCCTTTTGTGACATGATCCAAATATACCCATCATGCAACATTTCATGTTCCACTTTTAGTGCCACACTTGAAAACTTTAGCTTCTTTCTTTTACGACAAGAACCCAACTTGACCCCTCGAACATTTCGTTAAGGTTGGTTCTAAATGTCTTTGGGTTGTTTTAAAACTTGACAATATCTTCATGGGATAAAAAGTGCTGACCCTGAGGACCTTTAAAGGAATGGGCCACTGTTTCTGAAGGTCATTTCAAGCATCTTGGACATTCCCTCGGGAAAGTGTCTCTAACAACATTCTTCTGGATGCATATGTGCTGTCGCTCAGAAACAGTCAAAGTGCTCTGCAGTTGGAACTTTCCAGCTCTGAGGAAACCACTATGAGCTTGCCGTGTGTGGAGGCACTCTTCCCTGTCCTCTCCCTGGCAGCTCACCACAGAAACTACAGGTAAGACCGCTGACAAGATCCTGATCACTGTGTGGCAGATGAATTCTGCAGGTGGAGTTTGAGCAGTTTTCGAGCAGGTGAAGAATCTAATTGCTCCATGCTTCTCTTCTCTGCAGAGGAAAGGAGCCAAAAACCACATTTCAATTATTGGAACTCTATGTGGAAACTGTGCCAGACAGTGAAGGCCACTAAATGACACATAAAATCTTTGTTCTCAAGGAGATGGAAGTCTAGTAGGAAAGCCAGTATGGTGTGATAAATAAGAAAATGGACAGAGAAAGCCAGGAAAAACTCTGGGAAAGCACCTGCAGCTTTACTTCATGCATTCTTGAAAACTGAAGCCGTCAAAAAGCAGTGGGTATCTTCATGGAGTGCTTTTATGGAATTACACTAAGGCATTTCTATCAACATTCGACTTACTATGGGGAGTAAAACAAGTCATATGGCTTAAGTCTAAGGACGTTTTGCCTGGAAAGACAGTTTCTATCCCAAGTGATGCACTTACTGAGCTGTAGTGACACCTTCTGGAGGTACTGAGTACTTTCGTCCATGAAGGCTTGCAGCTGCTTCACTGATCCTTGCAGCTCATCCATCTGCAGACAGAAAGGACTTTCTCTGATTCCCCATACTGCCAGGCAAGCTCCTGCTTTGGAGCTTTAGGCCTGCTCTTTTAGCCTGGAATGCTTATGCCAGACATAAGGGGAGTAGTCTCCTCTGTCACATGTTCCCACCACCATTATTGTATGGCTGCAGTCCAAATCAACAGGGTTTAAACAACCACAGACTGAAATTAGCAGCCAAAACAATCCCTTCCTCCTTATGAGTCACCTCAGGTACTATCAGAATGTCATAACGCTAGGAAAAGGTGACAAGTCTAGAAAGCTGGGCAACCCACATAGTAAGCCTGAAGCACTAACCACTAACTCCATGCAGGCAAAGACACGGTTCTGATTCCGTACTATTTCCTGGTAGTCGGGCTTTGTGTGAAGGACTTCCTTCTGGGAAGAGCCAAGACAAGTCGTAGGATCCACTTGGACTTCAGTGATTTTGGTTTCAGTTGATCCCCTAAAAATAACAACAAATACGGAGTTTTCCTGGAGCTTACAATCACTCTCTGGAAACAATATGCAAGAGTGTCTTTGAGAGGGAAACCCTGTTGTGTTCCTCAAAGCCTCTTTCCAGCACTTCTATAATCAGGGTTTCACCTAACATTTTATAGTTGCCTTTGTAAGTGAGATTTGGTTGGGGGAAGAGCTTTCAAATACCAGCTGAGAGATATGTGGTGCCGCACACTTACAATCCCAGCAACTGGGAAGCTGAGACAGGAGGATTATAAATTTGATGTACACCTGGGGATTTGAGACCAACCTTGGCTGCCTCGTGAGACTGCATTTTAAACTAATAAAACCAGTTCAGATGCTGAAGTAAAACAAAATCTAGTGCTTTCCAACCTTCTCTGACTTACCTAGCCAAAGACGGCCTCTCACATCTTATATCTCCTGTTCCACTCCCTTCATGGCTTTGTGTTTTCACCAAGGCCTTAACCAAGGTTCTCTCTCCTATCTACAGCTCAAAGGCCATGTACTCGCTCACTAAAGTCTCTTGAGGAGCGATGTTGGCTCAGTTCCAGGGGAACAGGTGCAAGGGTGGCCATGTGCCCATCTCCCTGTGGATTGTGAATGATAGCCAAAACACAGCCTAGAAGCAGTTCTGTTCTGTGTCTGAAAACAGTGACACTTAGGCTTCCATTTTTGTCCTCCTTTCCACCAAGGAAAACAAATCGATACTTTAAAGTTGACTGAACTATGAGAACAGATTCATCACTCAGTTTGTACAAATGGATTTGAAATAAACTCAAATCAAATTCCACCAAGTAAAAAGACAGCTAGCTGCTCCTTTCCAGTTCTCGGGTCTCA